ACGCAATAGACCGAAGAGACTCTTGACGATTCTCCATCACCATCATCATTAATATCCACTTCGGTGCAGGCCACCAATCTACCAACCCTTCAATACTTTGCGAAGGAGCAAGACTCTCTCCCTTTGTATGCAATCTTAACATTCCAGTTGGATTCAACCCTCACGATAAATCAAGATTCAATATTCCTTCCCTTGTTCAATCAAGCCGGTCTTGATACGAAAAGTTTGGGTTATATAACTCTTGAAGTGTTCAACTGTTTGAATTTGGTTTCTCATCATCAGCATCACAATCAGCATCACAATCATTCATTCAATCATCTTGATCATCATTAATCAATCCGGCCAACTTACGACTCTTCCACTCACGTCACCTTGACCACTTAAAAATAATATCTCATCATTCACTTTCACCACCATTCCGATTGACGGGTCTCTCACGACGCCTCCTCCACGACCCTCAATTTGGACTGTGTTCTCGCCAGTTTAGTCTACACAACGATTAAACTCGAAGCCAACAGGAGAGGAAAGAGAAAAAAAGAAAAAGCTTAAATCGCTTCGACTTTATTTCCGCTCCGATCAATTTCGCTCCTGTAGCAACTGTTCTCGGAAAGGTCAATTCGATCGCTATTCGCCCATCGCCGTGCAATCAAGGCCTCGACCGCCTTATCCCGTGACCGGCAAAGCAAACAGCAAGCACTTATCCGATCTGTTGTACCAAGATTAGATTTGCGGCTACTCGATCTGGACTTGGAAGACACGAAGTATCTTTTATCCTGGTATTTTAATTAATATCAGAAATCAAGTCAAGGCAAAGACAAAGGCTCCCGGAAGCTAGTCTATCCTGCACGCAAACAAAGGAAAGAAGCAGCACAATACGAAATACAATCTCGTTGTTTCGGTAAAAACTGAGACACTCAAACGGACGCAGCACAGCAACGAGACATTTTAATATTTGCTACGCCGCATCTGCAACGCAGCAGTCACTCACTTCACTGTTGAGCTTTCTCTCCGTTCGTCTTCCCTTTATTACGCAGACAGCCACGACCGCTTTGTTCTGCTCTGCTTTTCAGTTTTGCCACCCACACTTGCTCCAATAAACTGTCAACTTTACCTTGCCCGTGGCATCTGCCTTTACTTGGCTAGTTACAGGACCTGCTGGAATCGATCTAAGCTCAAGGCATCCAACCAAAACGTTTATCCTCCGGCCAGACCGCTCTCCAATTCAACTCAGCTGCTCCAGTACTGTATCTACCTACGGTTTCTTCCTCTGCAGTATCGACACTACACTACACTACACTAGGTGGACCTGACCTAGTCTCGAGGCATCTCCGTTCCCCTGCAAGAACCCAGTGAGTGACCCCCTCCCCCTCTCCACCCCCTACCCCCTGCACGCACCCGACAGCCAGCCAAGCCCAGCCCGCTTGTGGCACTGGAGGACTCACTGAAAGTGAACCCCTGTCCACCTCAACCTCAGTGAGCGACGCGGCGCTCAGCCTCTACATGACACGCCCCATCCACCCCCAAAAACGTCACCTTTAGCTTCCTGTACTTACGAAGCCAGTTAGTCCCAGTCGGCCTAGTTTAGGGTCCCGTCCCAACCTTTAGGTCCCTCACCTCAGTACCTCACATGAGCCGTTCTGTCTCTTGATTGATATATCAAGCACTACGTCGCCTCACCCCTGGCTGGCTTCCTTTTCCAGTCACACTCACTCAAGATATTAATCACCTGCTTTCGCTTTCGCTTTTGGCTTTGCTCTGCATTTCGTATTTCGCAGTTGCTTTTGCATCAAAGGTCAAGGCCTACCAATCCTTCTTGATTTGGTCAGCTATATCTGAGCCAACCCAACCTTTCTCACCCCACCCTTCACTTACACACGGTCCCCCTTCCTGTGTATCTCTCTATCTATATACTCTCTACATCCTCCAATCCTACTCACCTCCACCTCAGCCTTCTCTCTCCCACACACATTCACAATGGCCTCTACATCATCACTACGATACCTTACCATGGAGGAGCTCAACAAGACTGCCCTGGACCAATTCGTCTACCAGCCTGTCGGCCGCGATATGATCGCATACCTCGCCCAAGCCGCCCACAACGTCATCGCCTGCGATTCAACTCTCATGCCTCCCGCTCCTGCCGATGCTCGTCACAACATCCCAACTCCTCCCCGGAGCCCGGAGCCCCGCACTGTCCGATCCGAAGATGGCGCCCTTCCTACTCTTGAGGAGTTCATTACTCAGCTTGTCGTCTCTTCCAACGTTCAGGTTCCTACTCTTATGTCCACACTTGTCTACCTCGGTCGTCTCAAGTCTAAGCTCCAGCCCATGGCCCGCGGTTTGCGATGTACTGCCCACCGCATCTTCCTCGCTGCTCTTATCCTCTCAGCCAAGTACCTTAACGACAGCTCACCCAAGAACAAACACTGGGCCAACTACAGCCACATCACCACCGAGTGCTACAACTTCGGCTTCAGCCGCACAGAAGTTAACCTGATGGAGAAGCAGCTTCTCTTCCTTCTTGAGTGGGATCTTCGCATTACCGAGGAGGACCTTTACCGGGATCTCGACGACTTCCTTGAGCCTCTCCGCCACAAGATTGCCGAGCGACACGCCAGGAAGATGCGACACCGTGAGGAGAAGCGACGACAGAAGGAGGCCTATATCGCTTCCGCTCGATACCCCAGCCCAGCTTCTTCCCGTGGCCACTCCCGCTCTCGAGGATCAACACCCGAGCACTCACGAAACCTCTCTGGAGGATCCACCACTCCTCCTGGTCTCAGCTACAGCAGCTCTTCCAGCTCTTATGCCTCATCTATCTCTTCTGGCCGCGCTTACTCCCAGGCTACTACTCCTCTAGAGCCTTCCGAGCCCGAGCCTTACTACTACGAGTCGCAACAGGGCAGCCTCTACGATTCACCAGTTCAGATCGTCCCCGATGTCGATTACCCCAAGGCGCATATGCCTAGTGGACGCATGCTTCCTTACGAGATCACTGCCGATGAATACCAGCAGTACCAGCACTACCAGGATGCTTCCAAGAAGCAGCAACAACAACAGCAGCAGCAGCGTTCACGACGGGGTATGTGGGGTCGCCTTCTCGGTGGTAGCGTCGCTGTGCGATGAATAGCCACGATCAGGCCTCGCGCGCACGCACGCACTTGATACCTAATGCATAGTCTCGGCGTTCACACGGACCAACGTTTGGCATCACTTCCACTCTGCACTTTTTCGCATGGTAAAAGAAGGGTTTGCAAGGCGTTGATTGGTTGTTTTTCTTTACGTCTGCTTTTCTTTGAGAAAGCCAGATACACAATGGGACGGCTCTAACCGCCCATCATTATTCCCTTTGTTCTATTATCAATATTTCGAATTCACTTGGGTCTCAAGTTTTCCAACGGGAAAACCGGCGTTTTTGGGTTTTGCATGAAAGACAGGAGCCTACCCGGGGATAAGGGGGGCGTGTGCATTACAATTACTGTTACGGGTTGGGTGGTTTCTGGGATCGGCTGGATCGGGCTGGGTTGAATAACGCACTATCAACGTTTTTTGACGGCCTCTACAAAGTTATTACTTTTATGCTCTGGTTGGAATAGGATGGGATGAAACGGCAACAGGAACATGGAGTACACTGCCTCGTATTTGGGACGTGGAGTTTTTAATTGGGAATGATTTTTTGGGTACAAACTTTCAGGCGGTGCATACAAGAACAATAAGACAAGACAGACAAGATACCTTCCATTTTTTACACTATCTTACATTAAACAACTCTTCAATACAAATCGGGCGACATGCCGCGATATGCCTCCAAGAATGCCTTTTCTAGCCTTGTGAATTACAACCATATTCTTACAATTATCAGACTAAGATATCACTAATGTCGAATGAATGCTACTGTAGATCTCACCTGTGTTTAAAAATAAGCCTTATTCACTGCCTGACAGTCGGCCTGGACATGCATTGCAGGGTTATTCCCAGGGCAATTGCCAATTTGGTAGGCTGAGTTGGCTCTACAACCAATCATGTCATCCAATGTACGAAGGGATTGCAAACAGTTTGAATCCTTCGAGGTCGGATTTTGACGAGTCCGACCGTCGGTGTCAGCAGAGGAGACAAAAAAGAAATGGAGAACTTCAAAATTCCGGATGAAGAACCAGGAAGAAGGACGAAAAAAAAGGATACAATGATGAAATAACACATATCTATCTGCAATGACTCAAAATGAGAGCGGAAAACTTGGTAGCAAGGCGGGGCGTGCAAGGACAACGTAGATGGTTGCGTATGCGGGTGGCGGATTGGACGAATGCAAATACGGGGATTTGAGCTTGTTTTATGGAGTTTATTAAAGATGTTTACTTGATACGAGGTCTGTGAGCGCATAAACAGCGTCATGTTTCATTCTCAATTGAAACGTGTTTTATTAAACATTTGCTATCAGTAGAGTATCTGCAGTAGTTGAGAGATATTTTTAGAATTTGATCTCCAATGGATGCGTCATATCCGTCTGTCTTCATTTAAAGTGTGTATATTGATTAATCAACTACCTTCATCAATTAATCGACTAAGAAACTATCTAATCCTACTACTACGCAATCAACGCGGGGGAAATTAATCGTGGCTGTAAAGCCATCGCGGATCCCTCGGACGAAGAGCGAGACACAAGATGCGACCGTTGAAGAGCGAATTGGTGTGCATATTGGCCTTTCTCTAGTACAACTCTGCAGCCTCTGCGCATGCCGTCGGAACCGAGAGCGCAATCATTGGGAGAAGTGTTTCTAGAAATGGTGTTTGCGAGAATCCATCCATTGGCTATTGAATAGATCGCCATAATGGTACATGCGAGTGAGAAACCCGAGGGGTAAGCCGTGCATGCATACATACGTATTGTCATATTATCTAAACGGACCCTGAAATTCAGACCCTGGTTTGGTACGGTACTTGGTTGGGGCTTAGCCAAGCCATCACTATCTAAACCGTGGCATAATACGCCGCTCATCCCTTTACTCCTCGACCTCAATGTTGCGGTGCCGAAACCCGACACCGGGAATCCGAGTCCGTAGGCTCAGACTGCTCAATACTACACTGATACTTGACAGAGCCATCGCGAGAGCCGCCCACACGGGATCTAGCTTGACATGTTCTCCGCTTGAAGTCACCACGGGATAGAAACACCCAGCCGCAACTGGCACAGCCAGCATATTGTATACAAGGGCCCAAGCAAAGTTGACGCGAATTCGACGAAATACGGCGCGGCTGAGATCAAGAAGCGTAACGACAGCCGTCAGCTGCGACGTTGCGAGGACAAAGGCTGCGCTACTGATGGCTACGTCGCTTCCCGTCCCTATGGCGATGCCCACGTCCGCAGTCGTGAGTGCCGGAGAGTCGTTGATTCCGTCGCCGACCATGGCGACAGTTGCGCGTTTCGACGTTGACCCGCTTGCGTGGAGAGAGGCTTGGAGCGATGAGATTTTGGCTGCCTTGTCCGAGGGGAGAACCTCAGCTAGAACATTAGACGAGGGAATGCCCGCGCGCTGCGCCACCGCGTGGGCTGTCGTGATGTTGTCACCAGACAACATCCAAACTTGTATACCTCGTGAAATAAGGGCTTTGATGACGGGAATAGTTTCGCGACGAATGGGATCGGAGATGGATAGCGCGGCTGCAAATGTCCAGGCTTCAGCCGTTGATGGCTTTGTAGCAACCAAGGCGACAGACTTGGCTTCGGACTTCCAGGCGCCAAGAAGTGAACAGACGTGAGACGAGATGACGACTGAATAGTCACGCATGAGAAGCTCGTTACCGACAATCATGTCAGTTTGACCTTCGACACCCTTGAACGAGGCTTTCATACCCCTTCCAGCCAACTCCTCGAGGTCAGTGATGTCGGCAGCCTGGACGTCAGCGCAGAATGAAACGATTGCCTTGGCTATCGGATGACTGCTGCTTTCCTCGACAGCTTTGAGCGCCGATAGAAGTGCCTTTCGCTTCCCATCATCAGATGGAGTGTCTGGAAACACAACGGAGTCGGTAATCTGCGGCTCCCCTCCCTCAGTGAGAGTGCCCGTTTTATCAAACACAACGCAATCAATCTTGCTCGCCTTCTCAAACGCCTCACCACCACCTTTGGCAAGAATACCGTACGTGGCCGCAATACCGCCGCCGACGAAGATGGCCGTGGGGGCCGCAAGTGCAAGACCGCAAGGGCATGCGACAACGAAAACAGCGATAGCAAATTGTAGAGCAAAGACAACTGGACCACCAGAAGAAGTTGTCCCGTGGTCAGGGATATCTCCGGCAAAGCCAATAATCATCCAGATGACCCAGGTGAGTACTGCTATCAGAGTAATAACAGGCACGAAATACGTAGTCAAGAGGTCTGCAATCTGCTCGATAGGTGCCCGCTTTGTTTGACCTTCTCGGACAACCTGGACGATTTGGTCGAGCATGGACTTCCCTGAGGTTCCAGTGACACGCATAGTGATCGCCGCTCCTTTGTTGATGGTGCCAGCAAAGACCTTATCGCCTTCTGTTTTCTTGATAGGACGTGACTCGCCAGTGAGACTCGACTCATCAAAGTTGGTCTCTCCACCAGTAATGATACCATCTGCGGCTGGAGATGCACCCTGAGGCACGCGAATCAGATCTCCACAATCAAGTTGATCAACAGGTACAGTGCTGATCATTTGGCTTCCCGATAAGTCCTTCTCAACAAGAAGAGCGGTTGTTGACCGAAGCTTGCCCAGCATCTCAACCGCGTCGCCGGTTTTGGACTTGCTGTATGCCTCGATGAGTCTGCCTGCAAGTAGAAACAGAGTCAGGAAGACCACAGAGTCAAAGTACATTTCGGCACCAGATCCATGATGATTGCGGCTAGATGCAGCTGCGGCAATCATCTGTGCGACCGAGGATATGTAGGCTATACTAGTTCCCAGCGAAACAAGCATATTCATGCTGCCAAATCGGTAGAAACGTTGCATAACGGGCATGCGGCTTCCCGAACGCCACATTGTTCGCACCTCTTTGATTGCTCGTATATGAAACACATCAGCAGCAAAGAAGTAGACTGGAGTAGCGAGGATAAAAAGTGCAATGTCGAGGCGGCTCAGCCCAGAGACCCAAGGCTTCATGAGGTACATCTTGCCATGGTCCGAATCGGGAAGTAAGCTCATGTACACTATTCCAAGGACAAAAGTAGGTATGGCGAAGATGATGGTAAGAATCTCACGATACAACAGAGCTCTTTGATGCTTGGCTCTGATAATTCGAGATCGCTCCTCGAGTGTTGGAGGGTGGTAGATAGACGCTTTAAGAGACTCATCGGCTGCTTCAATGGAGCTCAAGATCTGTCTGATCGTAAAGGAAGGAGCATTAGGGATATATCGGATTTTGAGAATGGGGTTCTGGACAGTTGGTTCTTGAAGGATGTGAAGACGATCTGGAGCAAGCCCCCTGAGCGTCGTGACAATTCGGGGTGGGCATCTTGAGCAAAATATACCGTCAACGCTGACCTCAACCTCACGCTCATCGACTGATGGCTTGCTGTCTTCCAGGTTGACAACTTGATCGATAGCAGCCTCGTATCCGAGATCCTCGATGGCATCTACAATCTCTTGAGCACGGTCTCCATCGGTATATTCGACAGTGGCGCTGTTAGACACGAGGTTGACAGCAATCTTTGTGACCCATGGATATTTTTCAATCTCTTGTGTGATTGTGTTGACGCAAACAGCACAGGTCATGCCGCCGATAGAGAGTGTCACTCGCGACGATGCAGCTGGCGCTGTACCTGTGACGACTTTTCGCAAAGGATAAGGAGCAGAGCCAGGTCTCGTAGTAGTATCGGATACGTTGGAAGAGACTTGTACCAGCTGGGGCTTATCGTCTGCTGGGAAAGATTGTTGCGGGTTCTCGTCGAGTTTACATGCTTCGCAGTTCTCAAGATGAGCTGCACGAGCTCGCTCGAGAGCAAGAGGTGAGACTTGTGGGCGCCAGAACTGGAAGAAAGAATCTAGCCATCCCTCGGTGTGTTCTGCAACGCGGCTGCTTTCCCCTTCAGCTTGCGAAGCATGGTGGAGATCATTTGCAGAGTTTGCATTGGTGTTGATGCCGCACACCTCAAAGCCGGCGTCTTGGAGAACTCGTTGCATGCTGTCAACTGAGGCGAAGGAACTATCCTTGTGCTCGACTGTGACGACAGAAGTGACGAGATTGGGAGAAACCCATAGTACGCTACCGCCGAATGTATCGTGTAATAGGGAGCGGATTAGGGTGACGCAGGTTGGGCAGTGGAGGTTGCCCAAAAGAAAGGAGGTTGTGACAATGGAAGGAGATGACATGTTTGCGGTGTTTGTCATAGTTGAGAGTTTGTAAACTCGTTGTGTCTATAAAGAATCTTGGAGGTTCAGTGGATAAAGTTGATGCGATACAATAAACCTTGGCTGCCTGATGAATGTACGCGAGTTTTTAGGATCAAAAGGGGCGGGAAAAAGATTAGAAATTGTATTGAATGGATCGATGAAGAGTTCTGTTTGTCTCGAGAGGCTTCCAGAGCCGGTATTTAATATCATTTGGTCGTGGCCAGAAACCGCACAAATGTCGCAAATGATGACTCTATCGTCATGGCCGCTTTGTCACTAAGTTTAGTGCACGGTCAATGAATAATATGTTATGTTGTATTCCAAGACCATCTCAGGTCTTGCTGTCGATAAAAAATACATGTAGATGAAATTCCATAATTCTGTAAAATTGTCTGATGACTTTTTCAGACCTTCAGTAGTTGGAAGGTATTCAGAGCATCATCACTTGAGCCGCTCTTGCTCTTCCTCTTTCTCTCAGACCAGGCAGGAGGCAAGTCCCACTAATCCAAATACAGTAAAGTTCGGATGCGCGTTTTGTGCCGCCAGCCGCTGTCTGCGTTAATTTTGCGTCTCGCTTCAACTTAAAAGAAATCGATTCATTAGTCAAACAGAATACTGGTAGAATGAAGCATAATAATCAGAATCCGAATAGCTGGTCTGAACTGGCCAAGATTGGTATCTCCAACAAGGGATAACGGTAGCAGCAGTCAGAGTTGCCGGGTGAGCGTGAACATGAGCATGGGTTGCTGCCAAGACGAAAAACGGCACGTGGTCCAGGCATCACCAAATTCGACAAAGAATGCAAATTTAGGATCAGTACCCGTATGCGTCTTCGAGTTTTGTGGTCAACAAAACCCTATCGAGAATAGATAGACATTGTATCTCTTCAGTGGAAACAGCGGGAAGCAAACTACCTGTGTTTGTGTTTTAGCCAAGACTTTTTTGTGAATCTATTAGCAACACGGTTGACGCAGAAATGGCCCGACTGGCAAAACACCTTTATCAGGCCGCCGCTTGATAAAGAGTCATGGATCAGTCAGTATCCATCAGTCGATGGATAATTAAGTAGGACCACCATTTTTTTCTCTCTCTCATCGTGCGTGGCCATAGCTCAGTCTATATATGTTCTCGGGCACTTGACGGACACCAGCGGAAACCAGTATTGAATGCCGAGAAACCTGGTCAGAGCCTCGAGAGGCCCCATATGTCGGATATTTCTTATGGGTACCAGCACTTGCAGTATCGAGGCTAGCATAGAACAAATGCTATTCTCCATTTCGCCTGCACGCATATTCGTGTCTGCTGTGAAGAGAGCGAACTGAAAACTGCCATCACCAAGTCCAACACTTCAACTTTAAACGAGACAGGCCTGCACTGTACCTCCAGAAGTCCAAGCTTTTGTCAACTCCTGGAGATTGCGGAGAAGTTACTGACTGTCAGTATTTCATTACGTACAGTCTCATCTCTGCATCTCAGAAGGAGCACGAAGCCTCGATGAGCTGTGGGGGATCCAATCAGCAACGTGACAATATCTTGGCCTTCGTCTGGGGGAGGGGCCAAATATCAAGGCCAGACACGGCTATAAGCGGGCTGTCAGCAACTTTGGTCACTCGTCAGATTGTTCCACCATGTATGACCCCAATAAGCTTTCCAGCTCTCCGAATCCTTGATCAGTCCCCTCCTATGGGAGCTTCCATAGACCTTCCAAGACTTTTGCACATGCCCTTTACGGAACGATCAGTTCCCAATCTCACTATCCGCCAAGCCGCTGACGCCCGCAGACAAAGTCGCGCCATCCAATTTGCTCTTGTGCTGTGCTGTAATTCCGTACGTAGTGTTTCTATCTTCTGATGCAATCATTACTTGCCATTCTCTCATCAAAAGGAGCTGCGCAAGGGGTTAAAAGATAGTGCCAACAAGGCATGGTTTGGTAATATGTCCCTCAGTTGATTGAAGGGAACGAGTCAAGCAACCTTGTTCTCCTACTCTGTTCAGCGGAGACATGTGGATATTTAGACGTAATAAATCAACATTCTGCGGGGTGAAAGGGTAGCGTTTAAACAAAGAAATGTGCGTTGCGTCTACTCCGCACTCCGTACCGGTATTCTACACCGTGATGGCCGTTGGACGTGAGGCCTGTGCTCTATGTCGGATCCAGCATTGCCCGGGCGTTGAACCAGAGTTGGATAAGCTTCAACATCCATGCTCCGTCTCACCGCGTTCAAGTGTGCCTCGCAGGTCAGTGAGACATCGCTGTGCGCAGAATATTGAGACTGTTGTCCTCTGCAATGGACTCATGAAGGATTTATGTACCGCAGTAGTGCAGGCTGGCCGGATCCTTGTTCTTCTCAATATAACAACCAACCAGCCGAGCAAGATATCGGTCAACAATCCCCGTTTGTCGACATAAGGCGTGCATGTCCTTCCGAATAAGGTTCTGGAATCTTTTGGGGTAGGGGCTTCTCCAAACAAAAACAGGCCGTGAGATGTTAGTTAGTAGACTTGTACTCTGCCGGCCGTCTCTGCAGTAGCTTATTCGGGGCGGAGCCCTGGTCCGTTTACCCTTAATCGCTTCATGCGGTTATTATCTTGATGATCACACCCGGTTATCTCCAGACGCTACCCGCGCATATAGCAGGTGCAGTCGATATTGTCTCTAGTTGGATTCCATGCGTATCTCGAGGCAGGGACGACGAATTGGCTTGGGCGACCTGACATCAAGATGGTTCCGAGACAATGGTCGACAAGGGTTTCGATGGAACGTAGTAGCTGTGCGCGTGATGATCCAAGACGCGGTCAGCCAAGACAATGGGGTACAGGAAATATCCACAAGATGGGTTTTTGGCATGTTCGCTGAGCTTCGAGCTGTTACCTAAAGAAAAAGAATTGGCCGCGCCAGGTCAACGTGTGGAATCCGAGGTAGTGAATGAGTTAATCTCCGCTACGGCAAGTGCAGAAACGACGGAGAGGAATCTCCAATCTTGATGGCATGGGGATGGCACAGCACTAGGGTCTTAGCTCAGACTCCGAGTTCCACCTCCAAGGGGCTGTAGGGGCAGGCTTTGGAGGCATATCAAGACCCTTGGCTTATTTCATCCAGGCTCTAGGCTCCCAATTGCAAGTGTTGGGAAGACAGCCGAGAATATTGTGCACAACCCAGTATACATACAATCACTGTTCTATTGCTGTGACCCCTAATCCTCAATTTAATGATCTCGGGCCTCAGAAGCCTATGGGCGATTGCGTGTTCTTCGCATCCGAGGTGCATGACAACAAGGCATTTGACTCCGAGGAAGAAAATTGCAGTTGAGCGATATTGGCAATGGCACTAGATGTTTCTGTTAGTCAGCCTTTGTTTAAGGTACTGCTAGTCGAATGTTGTAGCGTGCAATGCGTACAGTAGTCGTAGACGCCACGGCGTCTCTTCTTGTTTGGCAGAATTGATCTACCATATTTCATTAACGCCTCTTCAACGGTAACCAGTCAGAATCGTCCTTTGGCGTCTTATCTCTCACGAAAGATAGAAAATATATGGGGAACTGACCATGTCCCCGCACTGTGTTATCAAGCCTTGGTATTTCGTAAAACATGCAGCTTGTTTGCATCCAACAGAAGCTTGGCCAGATAACGCAAACATTCGTCCCCGTCTGTGCAATCCTACCGTATCTGGAGCGTGGGGCTCAATCCCCGTAATGCATGGTACTCTGTCGTGTGTGGCGCCTTGGCTTGGGGAGAATGTACAACATGTTATGGGCTGGAAAACTGCCTCGAGCTCTTGGCTTTCTTGGCTCTTCTTCTCCAACGACTCGTCTGCCTGCACTTCCTCTTGGCATCGTCGCCTCCTCGGGCAAATCCCAGTCCTCAATCAACAGATTCTCCTATGTGTTCCCCACAACGTCCACCAACGGACAACTCTGAGTCGGCCTACCCGAGTGCCCCCAGGTTATCAATACCAAGCACTTGATGCTTGTCCTCTTGGCACTGAAGAAAGAATCTCGTAACACACCTTCTCTTCTCAGCCAGGCCAAGCTCGAGCGTTGTCCCTCCCATGCAATCAAGTCGGCTTGGCGATGGCGAGCACCATGAGCTATAAATGCTGGGGAACTCTCTAGAACTTTGGCTAGGGCTCCCAACATCTGTTCTCGCTTCCTCTTCCACCAGTCGTCCAGCTCTTTAGTAGACCTCTTGTCTTTCATCCCGAAACATAATCAAGCTGAGCCTCTGCTATTGCAATGTCTTCCAAAGACGTCAAGGAGGTGCCCGAAGAGCGCCCGGTGCAGGTGCCCACCAACTCCAGCAACGATATTCCTCAAGGCTATAGTGAGGAGGAGGTCATCAAGAGGCCATGGTGGCATGGTTTCAAAGAACCAGGCCATGCTCTTCAGATCATCACTGCTGCGCTGCTTGCCATCGCCATTGGTTTGATTGTTGTGACACAGGTTGATACGGTTCCTCAAGCCGCCATCGTTCTCCTCTCCATCATTGGTAACCTCTGGTTGCGAGCCCTCAAGGCGGTTGGTAAGTTTACCCAGATGATATGCAATTCGAGCCGTTCGCTGACAAGTAGCCAGTCCTGCCACTGATTGTCTGTTCCATGTTGCTTGCTATCACCCGACTTCGAGAGATGTCCAATGGAGGTTCCAAACTTGCCAAATGGACCATTGGATACTATATCGCCACCACTCTTCTATCCATCGCAGTTTCTTGTATCATGCAGGGTCTGGTCTGGTCCAAGCAGTACAGTGTCGTCGATGAAGGTGCTTTGGATACAGAGGACGATTCTCTTCCCGACACCTCGGAGCGCCCCATTTACAAAGTCGTTGAGGGCATGTTCTTCTCCTTCATTCCCGCAAACATCGTCGGCGCCCTGGCCAATGATGAGCTCCTTGCTGTCATCATTACTGCTATCATTGTCGGTTACCTGATCGAATCCCCTCGGTCGCCTATCATTCGAGTTGCTGAAGAGATCGAGCGCATGGTCACCAAAGTCGTCGGCTTCCTCATTGCTGTGGCCCCTATCGGTGTCTTTTTCCTCATCTTGCCTAACCTGATGAAGCTCGACCTTGCATCAATGGGCTCCAACTTGGGAATTCTCATTGGCGCTACCTTGTCCACCATGCTCCTCCACATTTTGGTCGTTGTCCCCATCCTCTTCTTTGCCTTTACCCGAGGAAACGCCTACGCGTACTGGATCAAGATCTCCCCCGCCTGGATCACAGCTTGGGGATCTGCGTCTTCTGCTGCCACACTTTCTGTTACCCTTCGTTGCGCCAAGGAGCGTGGCATCTCCTCCACCGTATACAAGTTCGTCTGCCCTCTGGGTTGCTTGATCAACATGGACGGTACCGCCATCTACCTCCCTGCTGCTCTGGTTTTCCTGGCTGCCACTCAAGGCAAAGTCCTCGGACCTACCGACTATGTCATTGTCGCGCTCCTGTCGACCTTGGCCTCAATTGGTGTTTCCCCTATCCCTTCAGCTTCTCTTGTCCTTCTCATCATGATTGCCCGCTCCGTCAATGTCGAGCTTACTGGAATGTACGCTGTCATCGTGGCTATTGATTGGTTCCATGACCGGTTCCGTACCGCCGTCAACGTCTCTGGCGATTTGTTCGCGGCCCAGATCGTTTACAAGCGAACTGGCATCGAGGACACTCCGGAGGTTATCGAGCAGAACGCCCAGGAGTCTGATGCTCAGGAGAAGGATGCCGCCAACCGGGTCTAAAATTGAACCAGATGTGGATGATTGAGGATGAACGATTTAAAGCCGGCGTTGTAGCGTTTGTATTTTGGAATACCATAGTTTGAGAAACGAATTGATTACCATCGATTGTATGATGAACAACAATAAGCTTTTTCTCTATTGCATTTCCAGTGACTCATGTGAGCTGAGCAATACCTTCCCAAGTTGAATTAGGTAGAATGTGATGACTCAGGCCAAGAAGTGTTGACAGGGAAGGCGCTGGTGGGCAAAAAGCTTGGCCTTGGGAAACGAATTCATTGTGTGGGGAAGGCTCTTGGCAAAAGAACAATTAAATAAGACGACGAAGGGAGGAACAAATGCTTGAAAGGATTGATGACGATTGGCATGTGTTGTTACTGAAGGGTATTTCGTTGCCCGATATCCATTCATGAAAGCAGAAAAAGTAAAAGTAAAAGTAGTAAAGTAAGAATGAAGGTATGAGCAAGAAGCAAAAGATTGAAGCATTTCTTGGCGCTGGGACTCGACTACTTATAGAAAGAGAGAATAAGAAGGAAGGGAAAGGGTATTGATAGCATGCAGGCTGGCCTAATCTCAAATGGGTAGGTAGTAGGTAACAATTGTTTATCATGTCCCCTCCGACTGCTTCTAGACCTTCAAAGACCACCTTGTGTTGCGCAGTTACCAGACTCAGCATCAGTACCAGCACGTGATGATGCATTCATCGTTACCTACAATCAAAGTACTTTTGAATACTCAGAGTACCTAAGTGGATAAGCGTAACAGTTGAGTGATTATTATATACCCTTGTCCCAATACTCAGAGACAACTCAAGGTCTATACAGGTTTTGGAAAGCTACATTCTCCAATATCCTCGAGCCATTTAGATTCAAGATACCTTGGCCACCCGCATCCAACTGCTTGTCATACTTTCCCATCGCCATCTCCGTCAAAAACGGTCCAAGTCGTTCAGTTGGACTGTGCATAGAACTAATCACCGTCCGTATAATGGGCCCAAAGACGACGCTTAGCGCATTGTGCACCATGCCTGGATTGGGAATGTGTGGTTTGATGACATCGTGGTTGGCAGTGTCTACAAAGCAAGGACGCACAGTCTCGATATGAAACTTTGATGTCCGTAACTCAGAAAGCTTTGTCTCGGCCTCTCCCTTTACACGTCCAAAGAGAGGAGTGAACCTCGTTGGGGTTGTACTTGCGCCATAACCAGAAACATAGACAAACCGAAAGGGTTCCTCTGTCGGCGATATGGTAGATAGAGCCTTGACAGCAGCGAGAGGGAAGTCTCTGGTGATGGTGACATATTCTCTGTTACACAAGTTAGAAACTCGAGGTTGGCCTAATTGTAGCGAAGGTGACGAACTCTGGTGTCACTTTGAGCTGGCTGATCCCCAATGCCCAAACCACTCCATTGGCGCCCTGTAGCTGCTCAAGGACTTGAGGCTCATAGTTTGAAAAGTCTTTGTGGATTATCGTATTGACTTTTGAGTTTTTCTCTGCAAGAGGCACTGGTCTTCTGCTCAGGATTGAAATCTTCGTGATCTCTTTAGACTTGAGCATAGCATCTAGAACGCTGGACCCAACAAGACCCGTGGCACCAGTAAGAATGAGATGCATGTTTCTTTAGGTGAGGTCGAAATGATATATGGGTAAGTAGTTGACAAAGAGAGCTGAATGGATGTTATTTTAGAATAGCATAACAAGGCTGGGATATGACATGAAAGGCACCCAAACAATATACTACGTCAAACTCCGCATTTTGCGGACTAAAAGAATCTGAAATGAGGTTCTCGGCAGGACTCAGCTACTGTTCTCACAGAAAGCGGACAATCAGTCCCTCTATGACCGGAAACAAACTATCTCCATGTCGGATCCCGGACTTAAGACTACTAATTCCGCTCTGGCCAATATTTTATACAGATTCCTCAGGGTGTCAGAAGAATTGGTCCCTAGGGGCATGAGGCGAAATAATTTGGTCACTTTATGCTAGCTTAGACTGGTCGTTAGGCTACTTTATTTTAGTAGTCTAAGCCTTAGAGGACATTTCTTATGTTGCCCACTGGAGATTGAATTCTATGCATTGAAAAGGTGTAGAAGAAGGCATTGCAGTAATCTTTCCAATACTCAATTGTGGCCGGTCTTGAGTATACATGCTAGACATAAGAACATGCTTTCACCACCTTGTAAAGGGTTGCTTGTTATCACCACCGCCGCGCGCCATCATCGTCGTCATCAAGTATTCAGGATCAGGCCACAGATTTCGCAAAGTCAGTAAAGATTGAATTGAAAGCAAAGTCTATATGTTAAAGTACAAATCGCTAGAGGTATATGTGTGCTGTCCTCCCCAAACGCCATGCTATATCGTTTATCCTTGTCTAAGTACATACAGTCTACTTTTAAAGAAATCAAGCTCATTAAATGGGGTTTAAAATAATCACTTGCTTTGAGCAAAGTTGTTGTTGTTGGCGATTCGGTTGGGAGAGCCACGGCGGTCACCAACAATCTTTTTGTTGGTGGCATACTTTTTAAGGTACTTCAATGTCGAACTGACTCCAACGACGCCCTCCACTGACTGAGCATACAGCACAAGACCAGCGACATGAGGGCAGGCCATGGAAGTCCCGCCCTCGACGTATGTACCGTTATCGCTCAACCACGAGGCCGAGGTGATACCGACACCGGGAGCCATAATGTCAACCTGAGAGCCATAGTTAGACCAGCTGGGGATCTTCCAATTGTTGTCAATCGCTCCAACGGTGATGGCCTGGGGAGCAGATGCAGGGGATACGAGCTTGGCCTCCTTGCCTTGGTTGCCAGCAGCGACGACGACAATGACACCAGCCTTGGCAGCGTTCTTGATGAGATCGTTGAGAGCACCAGAAACACCGTCGACAGCAAGAGACAGGTTGACTACAGAGAACTCTTGACGCTTCCTCTTGACGATGTCGTTCACAGCCCATTCAATCCCAGACAGGATGACTGACAGATCAGCTGAGTCGCCCTGGAAGACTTTGACAGAGATGACCTTGGCCTTCTTAGCAACACCAAAGGTCTTGCCAATGATGGTTCCAGCGACGTGGGTGCCGTGGCCGAGACGGTCAGTGTGATCCTTCCTGAAGGCAGTCCAGCCGTACTTGGCACGGCCCTGGAACTCCTTGTGAGTGATGCGGACACCACTATCAACAACGTAGGCATATGAGTCAGCACCGCTTGACTTGTGGTAGTAGTAGTTGTTGAAGCCCTTCTTGCGGTGTGAGATCGTTCCAAGACCCCATGTGCTAGGAGTCTGGTTAATCTCGCCCCTCTTCTCAAGTGAGGCCTCGTCGTCCTCTTCACTGGGCTGTTCGGTTTCGCTTCCCTCTACCGGGGCCTGCACAGGCTCCTCTTGTCGCTTGCTTGGCTTCCACATCAACTTGACTCGACGGTCAGGTTCAACATTGGCGACCTGTTTAGTTTATTAGAGGAGTACTAACAAAATCTTGATCAGTGTTTCTTACCGCTGAGCTTTTCTTAATTTCCTTGATTGTTTCAGGGTCGAATGTGCCAGAGTAACCTCGGAAGCCAGCCTCGGTCTCAAACGTCTTCTCAACACCATTATCGCCATCACGCTTCTCAAAACCTCGCTTCTCGAGACTTCGCTTGTGAACGTCGCCAACCCATTTCATATGAGCCTTGACTGTAGGTTGCTTGATATTAGGCTTAAGTGTAATAATATAGCTGTCAGGAATTGCACTGTCAACGCCCTCTGGCGTCGCTGTGGGAGCTGTCAGCGCGCAGCCAAGGAGCGTGGTCGCAATAATTGCGAAGGTCTTGAGTTGAACCATTGTTCAAGTATATGGTGTAAGGAGAGACTGGAGTTGGTACAAAGACTAATGCTTTCTAAATGAGAGTGTTGGTTTGAGAAAGAAGAAACAAGTTCCGCTCAAGACGTCCCTGTTTCAGACTTAAGTACAAATCAGGAAGACCACCAGAAGCCTCTTTGTCTGGTATGTTTACGACCATAGAGCTTCCAGGGGCGAAACGCACGAGACCCTGAAGAGGCGTCAGTGTCATCAGCCGTTCCATGATCCAACAGACGCCTCGTCGTAACCAAATACCGGGTATTCCGCCACGTAGGTCCATGTTTGGCCTTGTTTGACGCAGGAACAATGCAGCTAAGATATTAGAAATGGGGACGCTGGCCGGACCATGGCTCTAGCTAGAACTTAGAGGGACAAACACTTCCTTGATAGGCAAGGTGTGAAGTAAGCAACCACGCGATGTCAGGCATCTGGGACGGTCTGTTAAGCTCACTTGGGGTTGGCTAACACATTCCTGCATGCACGGAATGGGAGAGAAGAAGAAAATCTTTCCAGGAACCACATCATTATGGAGTCGAGTCGCGTGGTTTTGTAATTCTCAACTGTTCAAGGAAAAGCTCGATAGGTTGAGTAGCCAATGGGGGTTGAAGATATTCCGGATATGGTATAAGTCGACGGTTTAGAGTTGGGCGCTGATAGTCTGGTCCAGATAGATTCGAGCCGCATTCCTTTACAAAAGTCCACCTTATATGTGCCAAGGGTCTTGTATTGGACTAAAAATCTCCGGATGGTCCACAACATGATGCAGAAAGCATGGTCGTGGGTATATCACTGACGCTGCCGAAGACCCACGGGGCTTGACCAACCTGTTGGCTGCTAACATGGTATTCCAGCTATCGGGAAGTCCCATATGCCAAGGCGGGATTACTGAACAAGGCTATGATTTGGAAGCTAGGATTTCATATCTTTCCCAAACTTTGCCCCTTGCGTAAGGCGAACGAGTGTTGCCCGAGCCTACTCAATGTCCAGATTAAGTTTATGGTTCCTTGCTTCCCAATCGTAGATTCTAGTTATGAGCAGCTTTTGACTCATGAAGAAAGACAGAGAGCTCCATCATGGACCGTCCTGACTAGTTAGGATAAAACACGGGTATAACAGTGCTTCTCTGACTTGCATTAACCGTACGCCACACACAATTAAGCTGGCTTTTATTGGTGTATCATATAGCGTGGCCAGGTCTAGAACGACTAGTTAGGCAGTTTATCGTAAGTAGATTTTAATCCATTATTACTCATTTCTTACAAATGGTCGCAGGCTCTGGGTGAAAATGCTGCTTCGTTAAGCGAGCGTCATATTGTCATGACTTCAACATTGCTCAGGGTGCAGAGAAGATCAGTATGATGGTGAGCACAATCAGGTTCGCCGATCAGATCGATCTAGAATATAGCACAACGTTCGCCTGCAAGTTTCATGGTGAAGATTTGATAAAACTGAGACTGGCCTGATCATACCTACATACGGGCTGTTGATATGGAAATGCAGTTGTCGAACCAGCTCTGGGCGTTACATACCTTACAGTAGAGCTTCGTGTTTCAAAACTACCTAACTCTAACCGACTAGTTTATCCACGATAAAAATTCCCGAGTTTCGTACTGCGACCAATGTTATGTTCGCGGTAGGCAGCAGCTGCCAAACTGCTCTATCACAGCGTTCCGACTACAGATAGTAGAAAACTATACCTGATTTGACTAGAGCAGCTTTCAAGAAGGTCATTATGCACTTGTTCTTATTCTAGTATCACTAATCAATCATGATCGTCAGTATAGCTTCTCGACGGGCGTAGCTTGTACTAAAAGCAGCTACCAAGGAATATTCATTCCATTTGGGAGATTCAGGATCATAACTCAGGACATTACAAATTACTCGATTTGGAATGGGGTGATGAACTGCTGTTTCTTGGCTCTTATACGAGAGTTGATCATCTTTCAACTTACATGACACTTGCTTTGAAATTCAAGTATGGCGAGAAGCCGTCAGCTATCGATATCTACCCTGTCAGCAAGCATGTCATTGACATCATCTTACTGAGAGATGATGTCGAATAGCAATTACACGGGCTTATGGTTCTCAGCACTTGTTTGAATACAATTATCAGCTAAATGGTAATTGCTATGAGTATCTACGCATATATGGAGACTGATTCTGCAAACATCGACGGTCCGTCTATATATCCAATCTAGTTAACCTTCAAATTTCAAGCATATAACGGCACTCCGAGCTTCAGTCTATTTTCCTGTTGCCCCAAATATGCTGAGTGCCTCTGATATGTGTGCTGTTTAGTAACAGTTGTTGTCGGGCAACGGCAGTGAAAATGCCCGGGAATAACACCCTTTCCGCTGGATAAGCATATTTAAATGGCTAGTCAGGCAATGCTAAACAAAACATCATGATTGGCTTCAGATTATCTGATTCATGTCGAGACGGTTTTGTCTCCGATGCTTAATAAAGTCAAAAGCGGCAAAATGGGATTGCGACACCACCGAGTGCCGGTCGGAACATCGGGGCCTCTAGAAAAAAAAGTCGACCCCGGCAGGAGCCTCGGAATTTCGGGGTCTCCATGAGGGGCCAGACTCTGATGTGGGGAAGCTACCAAAATAACGGCCATACAACGGCAGGAAGGAAGGCGTCAATTGCCCCTGCCCTTTTTGTCATACAACTTTCCCATCTTGCGACATCGATGTCCTTTCCGAAGTCGGCTTAGTTCAATTGCGTGATTCTGTCAAAGCATCAACAATTCTCAAGACCGAACAAGATCCGTCAAGTCAAGGGCGGCGATACAGCAAATTGGCGCAATGGATTTCGCTACCGTTACCGTTACCCCGTTGAGTCGCCTCTTGAAGGGTTCTACTTCTTCTGCGACTCCGCCTCTCATTCTCATTCTCTTCCCTCTTCCCTAGTTTTCCTTCACCCTGAACTGGAAGCATCTCATCTCGCTTTTAAGAGCCAGCGACTTGAGTTTCGTTTCAGTCGGTAGACCTTCTTTTTGACTAGAGTCAAAAGTCAACCGCGGGGTCTTATCCTCACATCTCTAGTGACTCTCGGAAACTCACAGGACTCTTATTCTCAAGATGCCTCACCAAGAGTCGGCCCCTGTGGCCAAAACCAACTCGGCTGACTTCACCAAGCTGTCGTCCAGCCTTCCCTTCGGCCAGCAGGTTTCTCTATCGTCCATCTCCGGCCCGACATACGTGACTGCTCAGTTGCTCGTTCAACAAATTGCCTACAAGTTGTCCGACAAGATCTTCTCATACTCTCCTGAGACTTTCGACCTCGATATCGCACTCAAGCAATGGGCCTCCCAGAACGAGAAGAACATCCACGGATACTCAACTGAGGTTCTGCCTCTCCAGACTCGAGTTGGCGCTGGTGCCCTCGCTCTCGGCTATATCTTCTCTCCCGACTTCGATGTTTCCAAGCGCCACATTCCCCAGTCTCTGGTTGCGCCCTCTGGCAGTCTTCAACAACTTCGCGGAACACTTGACCAGCTTTCTCTTCTCTATGGCGTCTCCAGCCCTTTCGTCGCCCACGTCGCCGCTCTCGACTACTCCGACAGCAAGGGTCTGATCTCCAACTACGACAGTGCTCTTCGTCTTGCTGAGGACCTCGGTCTTGGTCTCGTTGCCAGCACTTCTACTTACGAGGCTCAGCACATGTCTGTTTTCGCCACACTCCTGGCTACTCTTCTTCCCACTCTCCACATCTACGACGGTGTCCGCGTCGCCCGTGAGACTCTCCGTGTTGTCGATGCTTTGAGTGAGAATGGTGTTGCCGACTTGTACAACAAGCTTTCCGCCGAGGCTGGCAAGCTCAACACCCGCCTTGACACAGCCGGCAAGGCTGTCGAGCTTCTCAAGCTCTTCAACGATGAGCTCGGTACCGTGTATGAGCCTTTTGAGTACCATGGACACGAGACACCTGATGTCGTTCTCGTTGCTTTCGGCAGTGTCGAATCCCAAGTCTCTAAGGAGGTTCTGGCCAAGCTCTCCGCTGATGGCGCCAAGGTTGGTGTTATCAATGTGCGAATCTACCGCCCCTTTATTGAGGAGGCTTTCCTCAAGGCTATCCCTGCCTCTGCTCGCACCATCGCTGTCTTCGGCCAGGTCAAGGATGAGCTCGCTGTTGAGGATGAGGCTACCCAGTCTGCCCTCTACAGCGACGTCCTGACCGCTGTCGCTTTCTCTGGCAAGTTTGAAAATGAGCCTGAGGTCCTTGACATCAAGTACACCCCTGCTCAGTCTTTCACTCCTCAGGGTCTGGTCAGCACTCTGCACAAGATCTTCGGCAATGAGGGCGAGGCTAAGAAGCTTCCTTCCCTCGTTCAGGCTCAGCAGTTCACCTTCTGGGACCTCGACAGCTCACCCGCTCTGAACTCCCCTAGCGTTATTGGCAACCTCCTCTCCAAGGAGTCTACCTCTAACGTCTATGTCAACGAGATCTTCGACAACCTCACCCAGGGTGGTGTTGTCCGTAGTGACCTGCGATCTTCCAAGAAGGCTCTCGAGGCCCCTTACGACATCGATGAGGCCAACACCGTCGTTGTTGGCGACGAGAACATTCTTAAGGAGATTGATGTTCTCAAGGGTCTGGCTAACGGTGGCAGCGTCATCGTTAAGCTGTCCAACTTCAAGGATGATGAGGTTGAGAAGCGTCTTCCTGTTGCTTTCCGAAAGAGTCTCCAGGAGAAGGCTGCTCAGCTCTTCATCCTCGACTCTACCTACTCTCCTGCTTTCGAGAAGGACCCTCTCTTCTCCAAGCTCCTTTTGGAGCTGGCTTTCTTGAAGGTTGCTCTTCCTGACTACACCCCCGAGAACATTGCCAAGCATATCCTTTCTGAGGGTCACCCTCCCACTCTGGAGGAATCCATCGATGCTGTCGGCCTCTGCCTCCGCCAGTTCGAGGTCCCTGCTACCTGGGCTGAGGTTGACGCTGACTTTGCTGACCCCAACCTTCCTGCCACCATCCAG